TCCTGGCCCTCATCATATGGCCTAGAGGTTCCTATATTGGATTTGAGTTGTAATCGTTGGCCCTTAGGGGTTCGGTTTGGGTTTCTGCCTTTAGGTGTTTCGTTCTTGGGGTTTTGGTGGGTTCTTAGTTCACTGTTGGGTAGTTAGCTTTCTTTTGTCGCTTGGCAGTCGGGGTTATTGGGTGGAGCAGTTTACAGGAAGGATGACAGGCTGGAGTAGTTTTTTCTACCCCAGAGGGTTCTTTCAGCTCTGTCATTCGGCCTGGTCTCGCGGGGGGCAGTTTTTTAGCCATCATAGCTAGCGCTCCATATGCCTTTTTATCCTATAAACTAAAATTTAAATGAGTCAAACAAAAAAACAAAAATAATCCTTAGCTTTCAGACCATCCTCTGTCTCTGCTACACCTCTGGCGATTGAAAACTCAATACTATGATTACTATCATGGCTTTCCTTATCTAGCACTACCACCCCCCCTCCATCTCGCTCTATCTAGCCTCGGCTACAGGAGGTCACCTCACTTCACCTCTTTCTTAAGGTCCTGATTTATTTCCTGATTCTCCCGGTTCCATTCCTAGTTGGGGTCTTTCATCTTCATAATGTTTCTCCTCTTCCTACCCTGTCTCGCTTAGGCGTTGGCACGGTCAGCAACCTCTTTTCTCTCAACACCAGACAGCTATGACTACAGTTTGTAGTAGGAGAGAACATCCTTCTCGCTTTAGTCAATCTCTCCATTCTCTTACTCTCCTAAGAGGCTGCCTAATCAGACACGAATACTATAACCGATAGCTGTTGACTATGGTCTTGGGTCTACCCCTTCACTTCTCTTTGGCACCTTTTTGTCTGGCAGGTGGTGGGATTCCTTCCACTACAGTGATGCTATCTCTCCCAGAACAAGGGACTACACAAGGGACATGGTAAAACACCTGCTTTGCTTAGGGTTCTACTCTACGGTTGGATTAGCTGGCACCCTACTGCTACCTCCTCTCAGGCTGGCACCTTACTTCCTCAGTTGTCAATTGTCCCAGAGGACACATAGTTGCTGGCATGCCTGCCACATACCTCCTGTCCTAGCTACTCAGTCATGGCCTTCAGGGCGGTTTCCCTTATGCCTTTCGCATCTGGGGCTTCAACTCCCTCCTGGTAGTCCTTGTCATATGGCGTAGGGGTTCTTTTTATGGGATTTTGAGTTGTGTGTGATCATTGGCTCTTAGGGATTCAGTTTAGGTTTCTGTCTTGAGGTGTTTCGTTCTTGGAGTTGCTGCATGTTCTTGGTTCACCGTCATGTAGTTAGCTTTCTTTTGTCACTTGGTAGTAGGGGTTATTGGAAGGAGCAGTTTACTGGAAGAATTAAGGGCAGGAGTATTTTTTTCTACCCCGGAGGGTCTTTTTACCTCTGTCATTCAGCCCGGTCTGGGGGGAGGCAGTTTTTTACGCATCATAGCTGGTACTCCATATGCCTTTTTGTTCTATAAATAAAATAATAAAAATGAGTCAATCAATTCTCAGCTTTTAGAATTATCTGCAAATGGGATAGATATCTTATCAATATATTCATTATACTTTGATATCTACTTTTGTTATGAGCTTTGTTGACTACTCTCTGAGAAACCTTCTTGGCCCCAGTTTTAATTTCCTTGGCTTAGAATTGGCTGCCACCTAATAGTTTGCCTCAGGCCTCTTTATAATGTATGGTGGTAGTATCTCATATACTGCATAATGCTTTCTCTCTCAGAACAAGAGACTACAGAAGTGAACTAGTAATATACCTACTTTATGTTTTGGGTTTGTCGGTACCTCTGTGACCCTGGTTGCAGCCTTCCCCTGTATTATTTGACCTGACTTACCCTTCCTGGCATTCTGTTACCCCTCTACCTCTGTGTTGGCTGGCACCCTACTGCTCAAGAGCTTGAGGCCATCCTTATTACCATAGTAGCAGCTCGTCTATCTGCCCCTCCCACCTAACTTGTCTAGTGTTTTGCTCTTTCCCACTAGTATTGCCCAGTACCTTTTCAACACTAGCTCTGATATTACTGCAGGCATTACCCAATCCTCTTCCTTGCTAGGATACACTCTGCTGGGTGGGATCCCTTCTGCCTAGTAGCATCTACCACCTCCTCTGCCTGGCTCTGACCTCCTGTACTAAGGCTCATCCATCCTACAGCTAATACCATAGTGCCCAGTAGCTCAGCTGTGTCCTTCTCTACCTCTGACTTTCTTCATTAGGGCTTCGACCATTTAAGAGTTATCCAAATCTCAGCTGACACCTTATTGCTACATGCCTTATATTCCAGTAGGCACAGGATCACTACTAGCCTGCTACATAGCATGACTTATCCTTGTTCCTTGGGTTTCCATACTTCCTCTCTTGGCCAGATCCCATATGCATACCTAGTAGCCCTCTATTCCTGCTCTGTGTCAGGCTGCCTAGTCCACTGTTGTTCTATACTAAACCAGAAGGGGGCTATTTGAATAGTCATAGAGGAGTGTTTCATTGTGGTTTTGCTTTGGAGAGGGCAGAGTATGGGGAAAATCCTCTCCTTTCTAGCACTTAGAGTTATTAATTCTGGAAGTCTAACTGGGTCCCACTATCGCATTGGGGTATCTTTCTGTTACTACATGTTAGTGGCAGTGTTGGATTCATTATATTTAGCCTAGTTTCATTGGGTCTTGGTTTTTAGACCCCAGAGGGTTTCCCATAACCTATAGCAGGTAGGTGAACTATAGTGGAAGGTTTTTGCCACCTTATAGGCTCAAGGGTTTAGGATTTTTGTAGTTTATCTGTCTATATGTACTTTGTACCTAAAATCAAATAAAAAAAATAAAAATAACCTCTGGTGTACACAGTGGTGTTATATCCCAGGTTCTAGCTAAAATTGTTACACCTTTAATGAGAAAATTGGTTTAGAGCCTAGTCTTCCAGAACTATATACAGTGAACCAAGTTAAGAGAGGTGAGATTTCAGTATTGAGATCATGATAAAGAATGCAAGAAGTCAGAAGAATTGAAATAAAGAAGGTATGGTACCAGTGTGATTGAGGTACAAGACTGAAACTTTACTTGGTACCAAGAGAGATATCATACCAGAGACACTATAGATATTTCAGGAGTAGGAGGTATTGGGGTTAAAGTACAGATAGGTCCAAGGTACTAGAAACGAAAATGCCTGAAGTCCAGATGCCACAGTATCAGGGCATTACATCCTGACTAACAGTTTGTATCCTGTATATTCTATGTATCTGATACACAGGACTCAGATGTACAGGATACAAGAACCTTTTTTTTACTAATATAGTATATCAGTATTGAAGAATTTATAGAATATATAGGCAGCAGCCCAAGAGTTTATATATGCTACAAGGCAAAATCATAGTTGCAGACCTGTCCAGAAAGGAGGAATTTTGTATACACACTAAGCTTGGCTAATAGTAAAGCAAAAAAAATACAGACAGTTTCAAAAAGCTGCTTGAAAAGACTCAGCAGGTATTAGATACTACTATGAAAGTAGTAGAAAATACAACATAAAAGCAGTAGAAAGAGATTTCAAAACAAGTACCGTAGGCTATTAAGGAGAGAAACCAGAAGCAAAGACTTCAGAAGCTTTGGTTTCACAATGTTGGACATTGTATTTTAAAACTTCCTGTTGTCATGTAGTAGATACATTGTTGTGCTATTAGGATCATTGAGGTATGTGGCACTCCTATTGCGTGCTGTCAAACTTTGATGGTTGCTTAGTGTCCTTCAAAGTGGCGGGATCCTTGGCACGGTTACCGCATTTCTCCCCTTGTATGTTTCAAGTATCATAAATTCCTGAGTCTGGGCTATCCCCCTCTTCCTCCCTGCTTTGGTTTTAGCTCCACTAGGCCTCCTCGAGATATCTTCAGTATTTCGAGTATTCTTCTGAATATTGTAGAGGCAATAAACGGCCCAGACTAGGAGATTAAGTAACAAGACACTGGATGGTAGGTATCTACTTGCAGGCAGAAACTCTGATAGACCACCAACTCCTCGGAGGGTCACAAAACATCACTCGAATCCTAATTACCAGATGCCTGGTAAAAGCATTGGCATACTTACATCACAGTAGACCTTCTCTACAGGGGGGTATCCTCAAAGCCAGGAGCCCGGTGTGTAGTGGGTGCCGGTGCATTTTGTGTGACCTTTCCCCCGCTGTTCTGGGTCCGTGGAAGCGCACTCGGGACGTGGACCACAGTGGTGAAATAACCCATTTGAACCCGTTTGCCAGAAATTATCGTACGATTCAGCCCCCAGACATCCGGTCAATAGCCACTCTTCCTCTCCACCTACCTCTACTATTAAACGATGTCACTACAGCCCCCATATTAGCGCCAGAAGCCCGATCCTAGATCGAAACGCCCACCAGAAGACCACACAGTCATCCCCGCCCTTCTCGAGGCATACTCTCCAGCAATCCCCCTCGAACTAAATGATTTCTAGTAAATACGATACTCCACAAGGGGAGATACCACAAGTCCCGCACCAAGCAGGACTCGAGCAGCATATCCAACTTAAAATTTATGCCATTCCCACAATTGCGGACCAGACTACCCTCTTTCCTTTCTTTCGCTCCCACGTCCGCCCCATGCATTCCGCCCCATGCGGGATACCGTAGTGGTGACTTTTAAAAAAATGAGAATATGGACGCCACAATTAGGTTACCAATGTTTGAGAGAGTTTGGCGGGCTAGAGTAAATGGTACCGCCGATATTTACTTTATTTTTTTTTTTAAGGGAATAGCGTTAACACGCCAACAGTGTATCGTGCACTAGATTTCCCGAAGTCAAGTGATCAGGGTGTCCTCCCTTGTACACCAGACTGGGCCTGCCGGTGGTGCGCTTTGAGGGCTCGGTTTGCGAGTTGATTTACTGCATCGTTACTAAATATTCTAGTGTAGGAAGGAGTACTTTATTATATATGATACAAGCACCATACACCGTGTAGCACCCACTGTTCTCATTAGAGTTTTATTTTTAAATTTTTTTAATTGTAACTATAATAGCTAATTATTTCAGGTCACAAATGGTAAAGACAGCGAAAACAGGTGATCGTAACTCCTAGGAAGATTCTGCGAGGTTTAGCTACTATACATACCGTAGTCTACTGTGTATATGTATACATCCCATAAATGACTCCTCAGTCACACAAGCAACTACATTGGCTCCATTTCACTTCACAGCGAAAAGCAAAAGAAAAAAAGGTCGCACTGAAAACCTGAAACCCAAACATTGCAAAAACAAAACTCACACCAGACCACCCACAGCAAAATATATCGGTGTCAAGAGGAGTGCTTCGCCACTACATGCCCCCCTCTGTCCTATCCTGTCCCAAGTGTCGATGTAGCGGGCCCCCTCTCGGGAAATTGTGCGAACATGAAGATGGATAAATCCAGAAATCTTATCTCATCTAGCAAATAATGCATTCACGCCTCCCCGAGGACTCGCTCGCGGTGGCTGTAGCGCCTACACTGCTCCTACGGGCAGGTGGTAGACCTCCGCTACGGCCGCTGATCTCTTGTAGCATTCCGCGTGCTTGCTCGCCGCGTCGAGCGACAGAGACGGGGTTTGAGCCGACTGCAGGAGAGGCGGAAATACCGGAGTTCCGGGTTTGCTGTTGATAAGGGGAGAGTTGGGGTGTGGGAATTGCTGCAGCGGCGGGTGTACTCGGGGTATATTCATATGGGGGTGGTGCTTCTTCCGAACCTGATACTGGTCTGTGTGTTTGGAAGGGGGCTGGCTGGGGCCGTGGAGGAGGAATTGGTGTGGACATTCGTTGAGGTACAGCAGGATGTGAGGATGACACGGCAGGAATAGCAGGAGTAGAGTTCCTGGTACGGCGCTGATGACGTCTGTGCATCTCATCCTCCTCTTCTTGCAATTGCATTGCAAGAGCTAGATCAGTGTCATAATCGTAGTCTTGTTGGTTACCCGAGGAACTAGGTCCAGGCGGTGGTGGAGGTGGTACTCGCTCAATAGTGGCGGCTATGCTTTGACTGTTGTTTTGACTTCTCCTGGACCCAACGGTCTGCCATCCCTCATCGTCGTCGAGTAAACTTCTAATCTCCTGTCGCGGTGCCGCTTGACGTCTGGAACTACTGCAGCTGTTACCTGGATCGGAACTACCGCCGCCGACAGGTCTGAAGTCCCCGCTCAGGAACTCATTTTGGCGTCCCTGAACATCTGCCAACCTCTCGAAAACCACCTCTTCGTGACCCGCGAACCCCATATCTGTAACTAGCCCAACCAGATCACCTCCAATTCGTCCCCCACCGAGAATAGTCATGAAATGGTCATTTCTAAATAGAATGGCAACATGTCCCGCCTTCAAATCACCCCTCAATACGTCCAGGCCATGAGCGGTCAACTGCGTCTTGCTCTTTTCCATGAACTCCCTAATGATCTGAGCATCACCACAAATTCTTTCCTCCTCGCTTGTTAATTCGGACTGGGTCCCAGAGGTAACTTTTGTGATGATCTCCTCTTCGATCAAGAGCAATGTCTGTGCCTCTTCATAACTCCCAGCACCACGCCGTCGCATTGCGTCGAGGACAAGGTCTGTCGGTTCAGGCAGCCATCCGTGCACGAGAGGTACTTTAAACGCTCCATAAAGTGCCATCTCCCTTGTATTCTCAAATCCGCCCGATGGACCCGAAGCTCGGCGCTCATCATCCAATGGCAAAAAGCGAGGGTTAACGTTCATGCCAGTATGCAAAGTTAGTAAAAAAGCGAATAAGTCACCAACATCCGGCAAGCCACCAGAGCCCCTGGACATAAGCTCCTCGAATACAGCATCAAGGAGTAGCTCAAGCGAAACTTGCTCACGAAGTCGAAGAACTTCAACAAGTGATGTCTTAACTCCCTCGGGAGTAGAAAGCACTAGGGCATTAACCAGGGCAAGTAAAGGACATGGTCCGTTCGCATTTTGTAGTAATATGGGGGAACGCCGGAGGGCCGACCCGGGTCGAGAAGGGTCAATCCAGTTTATGTGTTTGATCTGGTATATAGCGGTTGTGGTATCTGCCGAAGGTTGAGGAGGCGAGACTCTCAAGGTCGTAGGGGGTGGCGGGACTGGCCTGGTATTAGAACTCGAATCCGGCCTCGGAGTAGTCTCTGCGGGCTTCTCAATAGAAGCCGATTTTGGTGACTTGGGCGGTTTAGGTGGCCCCGTAATTTCGGAACGCACACCAAGCACCTTCTCTTGTTCCCTTCTTTCCTCCTCCCAGAATTCAGCCTGCAAGCGCTCCTCTCTCTCACGTTTTGCGGTCTCCTCAGTCCGCCGCTGTAGCTCGGCACCAGCCTTAGCCCTCTGTTCCAATTCCTCCTCCCAGGTTTTGGTCACAGGTACTTCCACAATATTCTCGGTCCAACCACCCATATCGAGAGTCGACTGGCCTCGCTGACAAGGATAAGCACAGGCAATTGACGCATCAAAAGAAGATAAATCTGTTCCAGGATGGAAAGAAGTAGTAGATTCAGCAACCGAGGGATGCCTCTGTGGATTTTCGGAGCTCGAAGATATGGTGGTAATTATTGTTGGTCGCTTAGGTACTTGTTGCGAAGGGATCAGCGGGTCTGGAGAGGCATCTGAAAACGGCGAATCTAGGGGGCAGTCAAGCGGGCCAAATCTAGCGAATGGCCTATCGGCTGAGGGGAGTGTAGCTGACATTTGCGGGGCCGGGGAGGCTGCAGGGGAGGAAGAGTATTAGCCCGTGCTCCTTTGGTGCAACGCACTCAGAAATTTCCAACCGGGCAACGCAAAGTGGATTGACGTAAAAAGTGGAAGAAACACCGAGTAGTTAGAAACGGGAACAGGAGGATCTTACAAGCGTCAGATTTTGGTGTTTGTTCTCCGGCGACCTCCTTCCCCTCGAGAACCTCTGACCTTTTCCTCCTCAACTCTCTCTCCTGATCAACAGTAACTGAATTGGCAAAACTTTCATGAGTATTCCCTCTCCCGCTGGGAGCCCCGTGGATAAATGATTCGTCCTTCCTCTCGGCCTCGGAGCTTCTCCTTACAGCTTCGTCCGTGATACTCGCTCCAGGTCGTAAAGTATCAGGAACATTGCTGTTTTCAAAGCTCTCCCGCATCTCTAAGCTGAGTCGCCTCCCCTGTTCACCGCTGCTTGCTCCGACCTTGAGTGATTCCGGCTCAGGGATAACCGGACCGGTGGATTCTTCGCATGGCATCCTCCAGACCTGTTCGAGATCTTGCGAATCAGAGGCCGGAGGTCGTAATAGAGAACAAGAATCGGGTTCACTAGGATTGACTTGGGAAGGATTATTCTCTTCGAGAACAGGATAGGGTGGACGAGTGGAAAGGGTGAAACTGGAAATTTTCTGCTTCTTGAGAACCATAGAGAGATTGTTTGGGGTGGAAAAACAGAAGACAAGGTTGATGACAGTGGACCACGTTCCAGGCAGGGGAATACGGTAAGCCAACCGCAGGGAAAGGCGAGAGGGAGGGAGAGTATTGGTGGCGCGGCAGGTTACGTTGGCGCTGGCGTAGCCGGTGACGCGGCTCAAGATGTTCGCCCTTCGGGAGAGGAGGGGCCTGTTACAATTAATTTGGGTTTTATTGCCTTCCTGTTGGGAAGCAAACACGACAAAGTGGCTCCCGTATCCCTCTCGTATTCGGGCGGCAGGATGGAGATAAGATAACGGTGGGAGGGGCGGAGAGGAGAGGGGAAGAGGAACGGGAGAAATTTTGTAAGCTAATGAGAGCAGATCTTCATGCAAGTTATAATATGCTTGTAGCAGTGATGGTGATTGCACTGGATGAGTGAGTATTTGCCTACGGTTTTAGTGTTCGAGTACTGTACAAGTACATGTACGGTACTTAAAGGTCGGATGGGAGAGTTCTGATAGTGCGGGAAAAACCGCGAAAGCCGGCTTTGAGGACAGACTGCCCCAACATACCGGCATAGACTGAACAAGGAAGCCGGTTAATCTGTTCATTGGGATAGCGAGGGACAGGCCGAACTCCTTCTTTAATAAACAGGTTTCCGGTACCTTTTCACAGGCTGGTGGTGGCGATACCGGCACAAGTACCGTACTGGACACTGGTGTTACCGGTAAGATAAGATAACTCCTCCGAAGCAAGACTACGGTATTGGTGCTTGTTCCACTATTCCACTTCCGAGACAAAAGAGATCGGTGGCCCTGTGGGAAGCCCACTACGGTAACGCAGGTGCTTACAGGTGCCCATTGGGCGGTGTGAGAAACAGTAAAATCGTTACCTAGCACACTAATCTTGTTTTAGAAAGAATTGAATATTCTTGTTTGTTGAGAATGTTTAAGCTGGCCCAGGTGCTGAGTCATTTGATCACCAGAAAAAAATAAAATAATTTCTTGCTTAAGTACAGTTAAAAGCCGCCTAATCTATCCTTAGCGTGTCTGGTAACAAATTCTCCTGTTTCACATCGCCCAAGGGATTACTTGTATGATACAGTCTTCACCGGGGGCGTGACGAAACTGGGCGGGTGACGAACAGGGGGGGGTTAAGTGGTACAAAACCTAACCCTATAGCAGCTGGCAACGACATTCCTCAACTTGATTCAACAAACCTCGACTCCTGCAAGCCAGACAACTGCTCGACCCCAGTTTGGAATTGATCCCCAAAAAAGGGTAGAGATTGGTAAGTTGAAATATAAAATGAAAAAATAAAAAGAACAATCACATTTAATCTAACAAATATGGTTTATAGGATGGCTTCAAGTCGCACGCTTCCTCCGCCTTTGCTGGGCCTGTTCAGCATCTTTTTCATCCCGCTTGCGCTTCATTTCTGCAAGTACCTCACCATGCTCCAGGATGCAAGCAGTCTCACTATTGAGATGCCTTCGGTCTGCCTTTCCTCTAGCAGTGATCTGTCTCACCTCTTCCCGCAAGTGAGCTTCCCCTGCTTTATGCATCACAACAGTTGCTGCATTTCGCTCTGCTGACATTTTGAGTTTAGTTAAAACTGACCATAGTTTAATTGATCGAGGGCTATTAAATGTGATTGCTGATAGTCCTTCAACATAAAGATTGTGGATCGAGCGTGGAGTAGTTGGAGTCTTTGGTCGAAAGGTAATCAGTTCTTGAGGTGTTTGTAGAGGGACTAGTTGTGGAAGTGTAGGTTCTTTGGGGGGGAGCTTCGGTTCTGGAAGGCTCAGGGTATCAAGGATAATGTCTAGATTGTAGGGATATATTCTGGTGGCCTGAAAACCCGCTTGAATGTTTTGTTTTGTAAATGCCTTGAGATGAGCGTGAGCAAGTAGATTGGGAAATTAATCTTTATCTACAGGTACTCTGAGTTTGTTCACCTCTTGTGCATAATAAGTGCTTATAGGAGAAAATACTGCAACGTCCAAAGGCTGCAGAATGTGAGAGGTATGGGCTAGTAAGCAGAGTGGTAGTATATGGTAATCGAGACAGTATTCGACTATTGTGAGATACATATGTGAACCAAAGCCATCGAAGATAATAAACCACCATTCCTTATATGACCTATCTATAATATTAATATTCAATAGTCTCAATTTTTAAAAGATTTCTATAGTTTATAATAGATTTACTGTTACGGCCACCCAGCGTGCTGGACGTGGAGGAACATTGGACTTTTGGTTGCATATATCGGCTGTGGTTTCTTTGGTTGCGTTGTAGGATTTCCTTCGTGTTATGATTGGGATAGGTTGCCACGCAATGGAACCTGGCGGAACATGATGGAAAGACCGCGGCTGCGCGCGACGCCAAGGGCTTTCTTTTGTATTAGTGATCATGGAGGATTTCCTATCTATATAAGGGGGTGTG